CAGAGATGCTCTCCTCTGACTCACGGCTTCTCCTTGCCTTACTTGGTCTGCCTGAACATTCCCCTTCCAGCAGATCAGTTCCTATTTTGGGAGCCAACGATCGTCTCTAATTACACGATTTTAACAGACGGTTGTTAATTGGAGCATGCCAGGATCGTGGCTGACTTACGTAGGCGGGCAGAGCAGCACATGAATTGCTCCAGAGATGCTCTCCTCTGACTCACGGCTTCTCCTTGCCTTACTTGGTCTGCCTGAACATTCCCCTTCCAGCAGATCAGTTCCTATTTTGGGAGCCAACGATCGTCTCTAATTACACGATTTTAACAGACGGTTGTTAATTGGAGCATGCCAGGATCGTGGCTGACTTACGTAGGCGGGCAGAGCAGCACATGAATTGCTCTAACATTCAGAGCGATCCTGGAGATTTTCCAAGGGGAGACATTTGTTCAGCTATGATGGCTGGTGCATTACGGCCTGTTCACTTCCGACATGGGCGGCTCATCCAAAGGAGGTTACCATGGTTGCTAGATTTCCATTTGTCTAATGGCTCACGGAAGCATCTGCTAATGAACAGAACCTTCACCCTGTGCATTTAAAAGAACATGGACTTTGTTCCGTGTTAGGTAGTCAGGGCCTAACAACTTCTGGCATTTTCTGACATGGCCACAGATCTGGGCTTTGAATGTAACAGACCAGTCCAGTTGCCAGTGGACGCAAAGTAAAACTGATGCTCATGACAGGTCCAACCATCCTGACAGGTCTTTTGAAATGAAAACAAGCCACCATACCCTTTGCCTTTAGTAGCTCATGTCCTCAGTGGCTCCCTATGTATTTCCTGTCCAGTTCGAAAGCACTAGAGGTGAATCCCAAGACTACTTATAGGTTATTTCTGCTAGCCGGGATGACCTAAATGGCAGGCCTCTTAAATTAGATTGATTGTCTACTCAGGAGACAAGCAACTTGCTCCCAGAGGGTCTGTGTTTCCGAAGAGAGGTAGAAAAGTGGTGGGGTGAGGGTGAAAAGTTTTAGCAGCATCCTGCTTGCTGAAGATCCCTCTCTGGACGTGAGCGGTGAGGCGGGAAGCCCGGAATGTCCTGTGAGTCATGTCAAGGACTGACTGAGCTTCCTGTTCAGCTTTCTGCAACACTCGGTTGCAGAAACATGGGGCCTACACCAGTGGGGTGGGGTGGCTGGCGCGTGGTACCTGCGTTTAGCATTTGGGGTAACGTTCTGCTGAGCATGTGCATTTCGGGGGAAGGATTATATGACCCAAACTGAACCTCTCAACTATAAGTGCTGTCAGGCTGGACAGATTTATCCCACTGACAACACTGGTGAGAGACAAGGATGAATTTGGTCAGTTCCAGGCTTTTCCGAGGGCAGTCTCCCGCTAGCACCATGGGGCCTTCCTTCCCCAGGGGCCTTAATGGGAGTGGAGGGCATTCCACGTTGCAGGATCAGAAACCTGATGTTCACGGAGCGCCCTGTGAACGCCTCTTTGATCCATGCTCCCTTTGTCCCCTCTTCTCCAGAACCTGCGGCATCCAGCATTTAGAAAGAGCCGGTGACAATCTCTCCCTTTTCAAGTCCTTCTACTTCTGTATCGTCACCTTCTCCACCGTGGGCTACGGCGACGTGACCCCAAAGATCTGGCCCTCGCAGCTCCTGGTGGTTATAATGATTTGCGTGGCCCTCGTGGTGCTACCCCTCCAGGTAAGGGTGACCCAGGATGACGAAACATAGAACCCTTGAACTAGAAGAGACCTTGAGAGGCCATCGAGTCCAGTCCCCTGCCCTCACGGCAGGGCCAAGCACCATCCAGACCAGGGCTACTCAATTTTGGAAGCCCCGGGGACCACAATAATACTCACAGCACATGCCAAAGGCCGCAATTTAAGTGTGGTCGCATGTACATGCAAATATAGATGCAAATATATGCAAATAGTTTCTTTCACACTGATGGGCATGAATACAAAGATTAAGGCAAGACTACACTACACGCTGACCCTTTTTAAGTCAGTTCTGCTGATATTAATAAAATGCAATATTGACCTGATTTCCTGATTTTTAATGAGCAATGACAATCCAGGAATTTAACTCCTAAAACGCATTTCAACAGAAGACCATTCTATTGACTTGCCGTTGTGGAGCGTGTTCCCAGTGGAGGCCATGTTCAAAGGATCCCACCCGGGGGCTGCGTGTTACGTAGCCCTAATCTAGACCATCCCTGACAGGCGTCTGTCCAACCTGCTCTTAAATATCTCCAGTGATGGAGATTCTACAACCCCCCTAGGCAATTTATTCCAGTTTTTAAATTGGAAGAAAGAGATGGGCCGAGCGTCCAATAGAAATGCCAGCGTGGCTGACAGGTCGTGGTGCGTGAGAAGCACCCGAAGGAGGGCAATTTCCACCTGATGAGCCAGTTGAGCCGGAGCACGATTTGAGATTTCCAGAGGAGACAGAGGCATGCTCAACCCAAATACGGAGGGAGCTTGGTTTCTGCTCAGAAGCCCTGTCAACAAGCCACTGAACCGTGGTGTTTGATGTTTCACGTCTGGGAGCCAACAAGCCGATACTCCTTCTCCGCCAGCCGCCAGCCTGACAGCCCCTTGCCTGAAGTTGTCACTGTCAGTCGCTGTCAGCGTGGGGAGAAGGGGAGAGGGAAATGCGTTTAGAAAAGGTATTCTGCTGGGATCGAAGAGCAACCGTGCACTTCCTTCCCAGCTGTCCTTAAACGGAGCAAGCAGAATGTGTGTGTGTGTGTGTGTGTGTGTGTGTGTGTGTGTGTGTGTGTGTGTGTGTGTGTGAGAGCCAGTCCATGTAGACCCCTTACAGAGAGAGAGAATAAGTTTACTCTGTGGCATGGGTGGGGAACGTAGGCCTGGGGAGCGGGGGGCGGCCCCTGGCTTGCCTGAATCTGTCCCTCGAGGCTTAGGGCCCCTCCCAGCATTGGGGAGCCCACACTGGCGCTCTGGCCCCCCATTTCCCTCACCATAGGGCTGGAGCACACAAAACCTACTACACTGCATGCTACTGGGCTTGGTGTGTGAGGGGAATGTAAGGAGCATCTTTCTCCTCCTCAGTCGGGGGCCATGTCAGTGAGGGTTGGTTTTGGGGGGGGGTTGCTTCTCACTTGTGTGCGGCCCCCGACTGATTTCTCTGTGTCAGCGGCCCCCAGCCCAAAAAAGGTTTCCCCACCCCGATCTCCGGCCTTAGCCGAGAGCCAGCTGGCTTTTAGCTCACGCTGAGGGCCGTGGTGTCCAACCAGTTCAGTAGCAAACTAACCAGCCAAGTGGCTGGCGCGTTGGACGCCACGAAGCTCCCGAGGTCCCAGGTTCGGTTCCGCCTGTTGACATTACATGCGCGCGCACGCACACACGCTAACAGGAGAGCAAGAACCCCATGGTCACAGTGTGTAATTATCTGCTTAAATGAAGGGAAAAGACAGCATGACACATTTACTGAGAATGCAACAGTTGCAGATGCTTTTCAATCACACACACAAACAACATACACCCAAAGTCTCGCCAGACGATGTCATAGTTACCAGTCCAGAGTCTGTATCAATCTAGTGGCCAGCTAGATTGAACACAGACAGGAGCAGGGCCTTTGTTGGTCGATTGAGCCGATGCTCCTCTGGAGTTGGTGGCAAGACGAACCCAAAGTTCCATAGCAACGCACCCTGCTTTTATAATCCTTTTCTCTGTTGAAATCCATGTATTCCGCTCGTCAGGTTGTGACCGGAACATTATCTTTTTGATGTCAGTGTTCCCAAAACATTTTCCAAGGCCCATCCTGTAATCAATTGTCTTTTGGGGCTGCCCGCTTGCTTCAAGGCTCGTCAGTCTGCCAATATCCAATCATCTTATGAGTCGGGGTACGCATCGATGGTTATAGATGGCTTACCTGCCGCCAGGTCGTCTCGTCTTCACCCATGCTTGCCCACCCTCCTTTTTGGCCATCTGGTTCTGAAAAATAGCTTTGCACCTTATCTCGACACATTCATTCCCCTTTCACACACACATAAGCAATGTTACAAGGACTTCCAAGGCTATGCGGCACATCAACTTCTGTATTGATAAGACAGAGGTGTCGTAAATCAAGCAATTAAGGTCTCAGCCTTTAACATTCTTACAACCTTCATAACTCAGACACAATCTGAGATCCTGTCTCTTTACTTACTAATCTTCATTAACTCAGACACAATATGAGATCCTGTCTCTTTACTTACTAAAACTTTAGAACAAGGAAATATAGGAGATATATACTTAACTAAAGGATTTGACTTACTACCATCTTAAATATGATTATACATTACCTTACATTACTACATTACTAACCCTAAGATAAAATATAAAAAGAATAAAACTTTCAGTTCCAACACAATCCCGCCCTAGGAATGGTTCTGCTGGCATGCAACAGTGTGGAGTAATTTGGATATAAAAGGCCATAAGAAGAAGCAAATCTCAGCTTTCCTTTACCCAGAGCTCCCTTAACCTTGCCCATGTGTCTGTGGCTGTCATAGGACTTTATCACTATCGATGCGCAACGTGTAGCTGTTCAAACGTTCTGGCTCTTTGGGTGTGTCCAGCCTGCCCCACTGTCTGAGATGAGCTGTCTGCCTTTGTTTGCAGTTCGAGGAGCTTGTGTACCTCTGGATGGAACGCCAGAAATCCGGGGGGAATTACAGCCGCCACCGAGCGCAGACAGAGAAACACGTTGTCCTTTGTGTCAGTTCCCTCAAGATCGACCTCCTCATGGACTTCCTGAACGAATTCTACGCTCATCCCCGGCTGCAGGTACGGACAGTGGCCTCCTCTTTCAGGGTGGCCACTGTTAGCAGTTGAATGAATGTCCTTGCTGAGCTCTTGGTGCTGTGAGACCCTGCCCAGCACTGAGCACACGGAAGAGGGAAGCCAAAGGATGTGTGACAGGAATATGTCTGAGGTAAAAAATATCAGTTCAACCAGATTAGTCTTCCGTATAATCTGGTAATTGGTTTCAATTTGCAATATAGAATACATGACTCGGTAATGCAAACAGCATGGAAGAAATACCTATTGTAGTAGTCCTGGTAGATTCAGTCGCCTGTGAGATATACCTACCTCTATACACAGCAATGGTCAATCCTCTCTACCAGGGTTCGTCTGGGGTTTTCCACAGTACTTGTTGGTGCAGGATCAAAGCACATTGAAAATCAGCTAAATAATTTCATGGAAGTTAGGTCTGAAAATCAGCTAAATAATTTCATGGAGGTTAGGTGCATAAAAGGCTATTAGCCAGGGGATATAATTGGTGTCCCTGGCCTCTGTTTGTCAGAGGCTGGAGAAGGAAGGCAGGAGACAAATCACTTGATCATTGTCTTCAGTCCCCCCTCTCTGGGGCACCTGGTGCTGGCCACTGTCGGCAGACAGGCCACTGGGCTAGATGGAACTTTGGTCTGACCCAGTACGGCCATTCTTATGTTATGTTGAAAATGCCTCTGCAGATGTCCTATTTCTTATGTTAGAAGGTGTTTCCCAAATCGAATGCCTTATACTGTGTAAATAAATATTTGGTTGTTGAACCCAGATAGATTTACCCCGCTCCAAATAAAATCAGCCAGTCTAATCAGCCCTGTTTATCAATGACTGGGTGTAACTGTCGCCCCTCCCCCCCCACTATTAGGAGCAGCTCTCATGCCTCTTGCATTTAATTCAGGAATCCATTCCCTGTTGTCATTGTCAGCACCCCTCCCCCCCTACTATTAGGAGCAGCTCTCATGCCACTTGCATTTAATTCAAGAATCCATTCCCTGTTGTCATTGTCAGCCTTGGCTCAGTATAGATTTCATTTTTAAGTCTTAATTTCTCTAAATACACAGAGTCCCATTTTTCTGAGCCAAATGTTCGGCCCTTTAATAATTCAGGTGTCGGATGTGCCTACACTAGAGCTCTCGTGCAAACATGATAGGGGCGGCAACTGTGTGTGCGTGTGCGTGTGCGTGCGCGCTTCCATATGCTTGTGACGGCCCAGAACCGGTACAAAGAGATGTCGCGCCGTTAGTAGCATCATGCCGAGCTCTGCGTAGAGTTACACGCTCAGTCAGCGAGGGAACTGGTCTCCACCGAGCGGGCACTGTCAGGCTTCCAAGCAAACACAGGCCTTTCTCTTTCAGGATTACTACGTAGTGATCCTTTGTCCCACTGAGATGGATATCCAAGTGCGGCGGGTCCTTCAGATTCCTCTCTGGTCCCAGCGAGTGATCTATCTTCAGGGGTCTGCACTGAAAGATCAGGATCTCATGAGAGCAAAGTGAGTATAGAGTCAATCCTAGCAAGACCCACAGATGTGTGCTCAGGCCGTGTCTGGTGTTTCCTTGCTGTCTGTCTCTCTCCTTCCGTTTCCCGCATAGATGGCCTCCCCCCGCAGTACCAAACAATACGCAGAGAAAATCCCTCATCCCCACAGCGCTAGCTCTGAGGAGGCTCACATGTCCCTGCGACGGGGGAGGGGTGACTTGTGCCTCCATTTTGGTTCCAGGCCACCAATGTTTTTTTAAAAACAAGCAGTCCTGTGGCACCTTAGAGACTGAACAAGTGGGCGGTGCCCACGAAAGCTCACGATACCATCCACGTGTTTTCTTAGTCTATAAAGTGCTACCAGACTACTTACAGATAGTGTTGTGAGCTTTTGTAGGCAAAACCCTCTTCCTCAGATGAGCTGGAGTGGAAAAATGGGAACCCAGAATTTATAACAGAAAAAGGAAGCGGGGGGGGGAGGAAGAGAGGGAGGGAAAAAAGTCCTTGTCAATTGTAGGGCTGGTGCTAATGAGGCTAATTGAGTGAGCTGGAAGTGTCCCATACTTAGATTTGATGTAAATGAGATGTTCAATGGAAGGCGGCTTTATTTTTTGTTGGTTTCTAAGGTGCCACAGGGCTACTCCTTGTTCTTAAAGTTACAGACTGACACCTGTATCATAGAATATTAGGACTGGAAGGGACCTCGAGAGGTCATCAAGGCCAGTCCCCTAATATAGACTCATAGGCTGTGTCTACATTGGCGCGATCTTGTGCCAAAGCAGCCGCTTTTTCGCCAAAACTTGCTGAGAGGGTAGGCTGCACTTCTTCCTTTTCCCTCCAGGATACTCTTAATTCATGGAGACTAATGTGGTGGCCACCGTCAAGACCCAGGTAGGCAAAGAAGACAACCAAGCTTAAAGCAAGGATAAATACCTTTATTGGATGTGAGGATCCTGGCTTTAATCAGGGAAGAGCAGATAGGGAACATAGAATTGTCCCTGACACAAGGAGTATTTCAGTTGAGAAATTGGAAGTTCAGCTATTCCTTTTCATAACAATTATTTCTTGGTTGCAGTCATATAGGAGAGAAGAGTCTCAGAAATTCTGTTCTAGGAAGGCACAAGCCTCGCTGCATTTTCTTTATGGACAGGTGAGGGTTGTATGCCTCAGTCTTTTTTCCTTCCATATCATAGAGCACTAGAACTTGAAGGGACCTTGAGAGGACATGGAGTCCAGTCCCCTGCCCTCATGGCAAGAGCAAGTACCATCCCTGATAGATTTGCCCCAGATGGCCCCCTCAAGGAGCAAACTCACAACCCCGGGTTTAACAGGCCAATGCTCAAATCACTGAGCTACCCCTACCCCCTGCGGTGAGTGTTTCGTGCATTTATCCGGCATGAAGGGATCCATTAACCTCACCCCATGTCAATTAGCGTCGTCGCAGCCGCCTCTGCGCTGGGCTTCATCCTCAATCGATGGCCCCTCGGTGCCGCCCTCGGGAGCCAGATGCTGGGGTGTGAAGCAGTGTCATGGGGACGGGGCAAGGGGATAGCTGAGATGCCATGTCTGCCCTCGGCCGGCTCTGCTGACACCGTCTCTGTTGGGGACAAGGGGGTGTCCGAAGGGAAACGTGTCAGGAGGG